CCGGAAGAAGAAGAAGGCATACAAATATGGCAGGCGCCAATGACGACGGCGGCGATGAAATGATATTCCCCGCTTCGCAGGCGAGCTCGCATTTCCCCCTTGAGCCAGTCTCCGCAGCCGTCCTCTGCAGTCGGGAGACGAAGCGCAGAGATGCAGCGGTGGCGAGGGGTCGAGTGCAGGTCGGGAGCCAGGAGGTCGATGAGGAGGTCCTCTGTGGCGGGTTCGAGAGGGGGAGTGTTGTTGGGCTTAGTTCTGAGAGTGAGCAGATGGGGATCTTGGTTAGTCTTATCCTGCATTGAGGGAGTCAAAGGGGAAATGAACTGACTTTGTATGATTAGATTTCGATGCAGGCCCTGGCCAAGACACTCTGCGGAAAGGAGCTCGAGAATGATGAGAGGGGCAAGGAGGCGAGGGTGATGGTTGTCACGACGCAGCCTCCTGCGGCCATCCTCCCGCCGCTGAGGGACGCCATTCGAACGGAGCTCGTGGTCCGCGGCGCCGCTGAGGCGGATGTGGCGACGAGGTTGAGGCGGTGTTTGGGGAGGGTCTCTGTCTCGAGGGTGTTTGATTTCGAGGGCTTGTGGGAGGCTCTTGGCGACTTAGACATTCTGCCTGAGAGTCCTGAGCCACGCGTGGTCTCCTCCCCGGGGGTTCGCGCACCATCTAGGGAGCGGTTGAAGGATGATGATAAGCATGATACGGGAGACGATAAGAGGAATGAAGGGGTTGCGGAAGGCTCGGCCGGTGTGGAAGCGCCTGCTGAGGATGCGGCGAATTCGTCGAGGGGACAAGAGCATGCTGCGCCTGAGCCAGAAGTATCTCAACAGCCCGAGAGGATTGTGTTGCCGGAACTCAAGCCACGGCCTCAGACGATCAAATCTACGAGAACAGAGATCGCGGACAGTGACGAGGATGACGATGAGGACGCCATCTCGCTGCCATCTTCGTCGTCGTCTTCGCTGTCACCGCCGCCTTCAACAATTCGGTCCCCGACGCCGTTTACAACTGCAGATTCTCCCGAGAGAGGAGCGGATGAAGAGGAAGTTACTGAAGGCGCAGAGGGGGACGACCTGAACAACAATGTTGAAGGAACGCCAGAACAAGTCACAGAAGAGCTTCACGAGGAGGAGACTGAGAGTAGAACACCGCCGCCGGAGAACGAGATTCCCGAGGCCACCGCAGCCGTAGCAGCACCCAAGAGCAGATCCCCAGAAGACGACGATTCGAAAGGTCCAACCTTGCCGGATATCATCCTCATCACCCACTTCCACAGCCTCATGACGGCCCTCTTCACCCGCCGCGACCGTCAGTCCGCGCATGACTCGCTCCAACGCCTCTCCTCCCACCTGCGGTATCTAGCCAGAAGCCTGGAGACTAGCCCCTTGATCATGCTCCTCAACAGCACGAGCTCTTCAAAAGAGTCGACGATGTCCAAGCCCGCGAATGTCCAGGGAGGTCAGCCGCCGCCACCACCGAATGGAGGAGAACATGGCACTGGCAGTGGTGGTAAGGCGGTCGACCCGACGCTCCGATCCATCTTTAACCCACCTGCGCTGAATATCACGGGTTACGGCTACGGCGGGAACCAGGCGACGTCGAGGCGGAATAAACCCACCTTTGGGCTTGTGTTTTCGCAGCTTCTCGATTTGCACCTGCTGTGTATGAAAATACCTAGGGATAAGGAAGATGCTGAGAGATTGTATACTGCTGCGCCTGGGGGTGGCGGTGGAGGGGAAGATGATGGCACAGGGGGTGTGAGATTTGTGTGGGCTTTGGAGGTCCTTCTTGACGAGATTGGTGTTTGGGAGCACGGGACGGAAGCGGAAGTGGGAGGAAGAAGAAGGGCCTCGAGAAAGAGCAGAGAGCAGCGATGGGGTGTTGTTGATGTCAGGAGCGGGCGGATTGTCGATGCCTTTGAGGCCGTGGAACGGAAGAAGGCTGGGGAGATTCGCGTTGTTGGCGGGTTTGGGGGCCCGCGTGTGTGAGCTCGCCTGCCTTCGTACAACTTTTTACGGCATCACCATGTCAATACTCTGAGATGAGTCAAAAAAGGACGAGGTAACAAAATGGCCGTGGGACACACTTCCTGGATGCATCGCGGCGGACGGTACATCATGCCCTTTGACCCGGTATTCTCGGACTCGGGCGACGACACCTTGTTGTCCTACACAACCGCCAAGACACGACTTGTCTACATTCTCAACCAGTCAAAGCCAACAATGGATCTGAATATCACATGTACCGGGAAGAAGTGGAACAGCATGCAGAGCCGCGACGGTGCGGTGTAAGAGTCAAACTGCAAATGCGGACCCTGATGGTCCGCCTCGATGCTGCTGCCCGCCCGGGACCGGGAGGGGGGGGGGGACGGGAACCTCTATGTCTCCATCCGATGACAGGAAACCTACATCAGCGGAGCGCCCACTCCGTCCGGTTCGTGAATGTCTCAGACCCATTCTTTGTGTTGGAGAATTACACAATAATTACCTTTTACCTATATAGGGCTATGATCGGGAGCGAGTACTTCTCCATGGGGCGTCGAATACAAATCCGTTTCAACCCTTCTACTTCTCTCCGTCGAAATCTCTCTGAAAAGCTGATACGTCACGTTCGCTCATCGTCAGTGGATTCTTCGCCGTCGTCGCCGTCTGCGACTGCTTTGATATCGGATACCCAAGATATTGAGGATATGAAGGCGAGTTGTGTCTTGCCATACGCGGCTGTGGCTGCTTCTGTCTCGACTTTTGCTTTACCCGAGACTAGGCCCGAGCCGTCAATAGTAAGAATCCAGGATGGGAGCTCGAGGGAGTCGAGTTGGGAGACAACGCGGGCACGGAGTTATGACAAGTCATCGTCACTCGGCCATGTGGTCAATGCCATTGGCGGCATGTTCTACCAAGCTGCTGGAGCCGTGGCCCAGGCCGGTAGACGCGTGATGGGACATCCAACCGACGCCCACGACATCGGAACCGGCCACGCAGCGCCGGTCGTACTACAGCAAATAACAAGTGAAGATCCGAGATCGCGTCAAGAAGAGGCAGACAAAGGGGAGAATCTCTTGATGTTGATCAAAGAGAGCGGCATGCAAACGGAGTACTTCACGACGCTCCTCACCTCATACGACAAGGTCCACGACATGCTTCTCAGCAACAACGACGAGCAAACGCAGAAACAAGAGCAGTTCACGATCTTCGTCCCCACGGACTCGGCCTTTCGGAAGCTCGAGGGCGTTTTCGAACTCAGTCGAGCGGAGCTACTCGGCGAGATCCTCGAGTACCACGTTCTTCCGGGGCGGTATACTTACCAAGACCTCCGTGGTCTGCGGACGGCGGAGACGGCTCTCGAAAAAGGTGGGGGCGGGGAGCTTCGACGGCAGAGAGTGAGGACCACAGAGGGGCCATCGGGTGTTGAGATCAATTTTTACGCCCGGGTTCTCGTTTCCGAATCGAGGGAGAGCGGGGATGGTGCCGTTGTCGTCCACTTTATAGACGAGGTTCTGATTCCGCCGCCGCGGTGGGATATACTCGTCGGTGCTGCGGTGCCGGAACATACGCTGGGGGCTTTTGCGAAGGCGATGAAGAGGAGCAGAGTGAGCGAGGAAGTTTTGCGGCGCCTGCGTGGTGGCTCTGGGATCACGGTGTTTGCGCCGTCGAATGACGCGTGGGATCAGTTGGGCGAGGAAGCGATGGATTTCCTCTTTTCCTCGCGGGAGGGGGCTAAGTTTCTCGAGGCTTTGGTGAGGTATCATTTTGTTGCGGAGGTGATTTATACGGACTTTTTCAAAGGCGTGGAGATGGACGAGGAGGAGATGGAGAAGAAGACCGACGGGGGGAGGGACCTCGGGGAGGACGCCGACGGGGCGGGGCGGGTGCGACGGGATGTTCAGACTCTGCTTGACGGGGCGAGGGTCACGATCGAGGCGGTGGTTTCTCGCAGCGCGGGACGCACCGGTGACGGTGGACGGCCGGTGGGCGTGGTGAAGGGGGGTGTTGGTGTGAATGGGGCGGCGGTATCAGCGAGAGATGTGCCGGTCAGGGATGGCGTTGTGCATATCGTGGATGAGGTGCTCTTGCCACTGCCAACGCCGCCGTTATTGTCGTCGACTTCGTCTTCGAGAAGGATTGGTGTGGAGGAACTCAAGAGGCGGCTGGCCCGGTTTGTTGATGTAGGAGACGAGGGCGGTTGGAGCGAAGAGTTGTAGGATATCCTTGGTAGTATCGTGCCCGTAGATTTAAGAGTGGAACGTATGAATTATTGTCTTGCACTCCGTACTCAGATGAGTTGAGACATGGATTCTTGTGTGTTTCCTCCACCGTTGAATCAAGCATCTCCGAGAGGTTTATTCTCAAAGACAAACTCGCCTTGGCAATCTTAAAGAAACAAGACAGCGGGCACGTGGGAGTTGGGGCGATGGGGTGACGCCCCAGTCTAGACTATAGTCATGAACCTTGAGAGGAACGAAATGAACTCTCGCGACTAAGCACGGTCTTTCACTTTCGCTACTACTTCGTAGTCTGTGACTTTGTACTACGAAAGCTCATTTCCATGCTATCCGTGACCCGTATACGCCATATCCGTACAGCCGTGCCAGAGACTAGGGCCCTGAGTCGTGTCTCTTGCTAGACAGTCCACCATAGGTTCTACTGGCGATTGTTCCCCAATCATAACGTTTGATAGTGTGTCCATGTGTCATAATGCAGGTTATCAATATCGTTTCTGCTCCACGCGTAGTTATTTCCCGAGTCGGCTTGCGAGCATCATCATTCCCGACTCGGGGAAATCATCAACACCGGCACTGCCGCTGCTACACCCTACATAGCCTAATCACTTTTTTTTTTTCTGTTGGAGCGCAACACCTTATAGGCACAGTTGCGCTTATAAGAAAGGGGGGGGGGGGGAAGAAAGTCCTTCATAAACACTCTTGGCAACTCCATTCTCCTAGGTAAACCCTCCCTTCTATTATTTTCAAGACCCGATATATGAATACTCCGTACTCGCCCAACATGAAGCTCGCACCCGTTCTATCCATCCTCGTGGCCGGCCTCTCGTTCGCCAGCGCACAGGTCTGCCCCGACAAGAACCTGATGGAGTGCTACGAGTACTGCGACTTCAACAACAAGCCCAACGATGCGTTTGTGGCGTGCACACATGCTCGTTGCTCGTACTGCCGCCCTTAGACTGAGGAGATTGAAACCCGGACACAGATGGGTGGGAGAAGCTGTGAGTAGGGGGGCTAAAGGGCCGAGGTGTTTGATCACGACTGACTCGGTGATAGGGCCTCGTTGGTCGGTATACAGGCACTCAATACATGACGATTCCAGCATAGAAGATACCCAGGATAGGCGGGTGGTGGATGGTGGCGATGGCGCCGAGTATCAAGATAGAAATGCAGTATGAAGTGGAATAGATTTGTGATCGCAACATACCCTTGAACATCTTTCCAACTCCATCCACAAGCTGTCTACTAAGACGCGAGTCTGCCAATGCGGTCTCGGAGCGATGCATGCGTGACGTTAGTCTCTCGAGAAGGCTACGTTTGTTTGCTCTCTTGATGGAATGACCTAGATATGGCTTGCCTCCCTGGCTAATAGCACGGGGGAAATCCCTAGCCACTCCCGAGCCCCGGCCGCACGGCCCCACAGCGGAATGGCCACCCGGCAAAATGCTTTCCGAAAAAGTCCCCACCTCGCAACCGTCTCACCCCCATTGTCCTTCAGCTTCCGCCGCCTCCGGCACATCGGCTAGGTAGCTAGTGCGGCTTGGAGCCCTTCGCCGCTCCGTTCGCTGAGGATTCCAGCCGTTCGCTGCCGCTGTGCAGTTGCAACAACGTGATGTAAGGCAGGTACCTAGGTACTTTAGTGTACCGGCTGTTGAGCCCGTCGATGCAATTGCAACAGCAATGCCTCCACCCTCCAATGAGTCGGTCTCGTTGGGGACGTCCGATCAATCAAAGATGCGAGAAACGCCTTATATATGCCCCCCCAAAGATATGTCACCTCGGGTTCTTCAAAGGACAGCTACGCGGAGCACCACGCTGCTCACAGACTCGAGATTTCAGCTTGGGAGTGTAAATTGTGGTCCCCCCAAGTTTGAGGACCAGAACGGGCTCCAAGTTTCACGTAAGATAGATTGGACGTGGTCTTGGCGAAATTCGCTGCGCCCTACGGATACTCCTTAGCTTGTGTCGTTGCATACGCTACCGGATTGTTCTTTTGCATGCTAGACTTGGTTGCGCATCCGGTATCGCTGGGCAGCTGAAGCATAACGTGAACGATCGGATCACCGGTTGGCGCCGCGCGTTGGCCGTAAAACGTCCTAAGAGCATCGCCGCTACGGAGTCATCCGGCTCCGAGAGATTTTCCGTTACCAACACGGGGTACGGTCGGGTTCGGATAACGGGCACGGACGGGACAGGAGGTGAGAATACTGGGTTGATGACTTTGGTGCTCCTAGCAAGACGGAGTAGTCCGCTTCACGGGTTCGAGATTTCTGGGACCCTGAGTCGTGCGTATCTCGTCGCTCTGCCTTACTCTACTGACCTCCCGCACCGGATAGAGATTAGAATCTCTACTTTTCTCGGATTCCATCCACATGTATTCTAATCTCGTCTCGACTCAGGCACTTGGTTGCGGATCGTCGGATACACCGTATAGGTCGCTCCACTGGATGAACTACTGCAAGACCAAACACCTCCTTGGATTATTTTCCGTCAGTTGTCTCCACGCTTGAATAGTCTAAGCCTCTGAGATTGGTAGGGCTAGAGCCAGACCGCGACCGCTGGGTGACGTTGTGGAACTGCGACTGATGAATGAGGCGACTTGTGCGAGTCCGTGAGCTTGATCAGAGTATGAAATTTAGACATAGAGTTTGACTTCAAACTGAGGTAATCTAAGTAGATCATTGTAGGTGAACTAGTGTATCCGTACTCGAGAGACACAGGCATGTTGTCGTTCCACCTGTGAAGTTGAAGAAGGAATGTGATCTGTATAAAGGGCATTCAAGTCCCTCGTCTGGACAGTTGAATAGAGCTCGAAGTCATCATCGCCTTTGTCTCTCACTCCACAGCCTCTACATTCGTTTTCCACTGCATAACCATCCACTTTCTTTCAAGATGCACTTCACCAAGTTTGTTCTGGCAGTTGTCCTGCCCTACATGTAAGCACCTCCGCCTCCACCTCTCCCGGCCTATGAGCGTCCTGAGCATCTTACTGACCACAACGCAAACAACAGGGCCGCCGCCAACACCCACGTCGGCTGCAAGTGCAACACGGGCGACGACACCTGCCTCCAGGCCGCCTGCAACGGATACTCCGGCGCCGGCGTCTTCTTCAACAAGCCCAAGGGCCACGAGGATACCGTCTTTTCGCAAGTCAAGGACGGCGTACGTTAATCCCCCTCTGCCTCTCATACACAGACATCTTGCACATTTTGCAATCGTTAATTATCGGTGACTAACCCGCGTGGACATGCAGAAATGCTACGCCGTGTACAACAACGGCAACGAGTTCCTGACGTTTGAGGGACTCGGCGGCAAGGAGTGGAGGGCCAAGTGCGAGGAGCACTGCAAGGGTGGCTCTACCTGCTGAGTCAAGGCCGGATAGAAAGATTTGTGGTCCGCTTCCTTTCGCGTCGAATTTGTCTTAGCAGCTTATATACCAAAGTGATGATTTTACCAACGATTATCTCTCCATTCCTGCGAAATTTTGACGACATTGTAGATGTAAGGTTTTATGTCTTTAAGCTTATTTACCTTGCTAAAGGTTGAGGTGGATGGCACGGGCTGAGATGGGAAGTTAAAATGACGATGCAGATATTAAGGACAAAACTTAATTACGAAAACGAGAACGATGATGAGTCGTGTTTTACAGTACAATTGATAGGCCCAGGGCCGCAACGTTTCGGAAGAAGAAAGCAAAAAGGAAGAAAGAGAATAACGAAAAGCTGATGTAATACTGTCGCACTATTCACCACGCTTTGCAGCCACAGCGAGTCCCGCATGCTATCGTGATGCTTATCCATGTGGTCTGCGATATTCTAAACGGGCTCGATGGACGACAACGGACATGGCGCGGCGGTCTTGGTCTGCTCTGACGCGGGGATCGTCACAGCACCCCTGTTCACCAAACAGGTCCACACGGAAGGGTGGCCGAGTTGGTTATGGCGCCAGGTTAAGGTCAGCTTAACATCTGTTTCCTGGTGGGGCAACCCGCGCGAGTTCGAGTCTCGTCCCTTTCATTTTTGAAGTTTGTGACGAGGTATTCGTGTTGTGTTGACCTTTTGCCGTCCACTGTCTTTGTTACCGGGCGTCTGGGAAGCGTTGGGGGGGGGGGGGGAATGCAGGCAAGGCAGGGGGATTGGATCTTTCGAGTGCTCGCATACGAGTCCCGAAGAATCTTGAACCAACAAGTGGTTCAAGTGGAGAAGATGAAAAAATGGGGATACAGGTTTCGATATGGAAGCTAAACTCGGATCATGATAGTGTGGCTGCGTGTGAAAGTGAAGACTAAAGACGTAAGACGGTTTGCTAGTAGACCGCTAGACCTGCCGTCTCGGGTTTGACAGCTCGTCCGGCGGTGAAGATTGAGTCTCGGGCGCCTCCTGCAGCTAACACTTGGGACACCCGCCTCATTATCTCTCACCGAGTCTGGGGATATGGCATGCTAAGATTACTACGATCACCCATGGACTTGAAGATTCTTTAAAGATGCTTGATTTCTGGCTCGAGACATGAAGCATGTTTCTCGATTCGGTGAGAACCGCAGCCTCAAGGACTCAAGACTCAAGACCCAAGAGACGACTGAGAGGTCGAGAGATGTTAGGTAAGCAAACGGCCGGGCTCCCCTGCAGCCCAGCCACTCACAAAATGAGCCCCTGTCGTGAGGTGGCGTTGCCTCGTCGGCGGGATAGGTGACAGCGGATGCGGAGACGTGCTGCCGCCGGGGTGGAGTCCCCTGTCTGTGGTGTTCTTGCGCAGTATCCCCAAGTCACAAGTGTCACTCTCTCATTGTCAAGGCACAGGTGCGAACCCAAGCCAGAGAAGATCTGGTTCTTGAATGGGTGGTGTTGTGTGTTGGGCACATTCTAATTGTTAAGTATCCGTAAGGTATGCAACTTGGAAGTTGGGAGATGTATGCAGGACAGCTGTACTGCAGGATACGTACTCCCCTGTCATCTGAAAACCGCCTGAGGTGCCGTACCTAAGGTGCTGGTAGGTACCTTAGGTGAGGTGTACAAAAGCAACATGGGACGAACTGCAACCACGCGATAGACTTTTCGTGTTTTCCCCTACTTCGTAATATGCTCTCTCTCTTTCTCTCTTCGTTCCCCTCCTCTTCTCTCTCTATGTAAAACAGTGACATCGTTTCTTGTTCCTGACACCCGTCAAAAAGGTCAGTCTTCCTTGTTCAAAAAGTGTCTCCTGTTCCTATTCTGGCACTGGTTCCTGCATCCGGGGCGCTACGGGGCCTAGCGCCCGTCAGGGACCCCCGGGGCTTCAGGGATTTTCGGTGGGGTTCTCGGTGGCTGGGAGGGCAACGCCGTTCCCTCCCAACCTCCGACCTGCAACACCATCGCAACCAACGACGAGCTGCAATCACCAGTCACAACTCTCCATGATGCATGATTTTCTTGCTTTCCCAACCACGCGATTTCAACAAACAGCAAAAACCTCACCACCACCCACACCACGCACCACACACACTCCCAACCACGATGCTCAGCCTTCCCTCTCTCTTCTCTCCTTCTCTTGTGTATCCCCCCCCCTCCCTGACCATTATTGCAGTTCGGATATGCGTATGCAGCCAGACTATTGAAGACATCTCCGCCTTCACTCTTGCTGATAATTGGCCTGGTAACAAGTGGAGGCTTCATCACGCCGCATCAGCTGCAGAGAGGTTCTCACGACAACAACGACGACCCATGAAATAGGATCAAAGGCATAGCCGCCATGTATCCTGATAACGCCCACCCCGACGACGCCTACGTGCAACATCAACGTATGTCTACACCCTATATCGCAACTTGACTTCCTTTACCACTCCTTCACCCACCCACCCACCCACACACCTTCTTTCCTCTTCCTCTTCTTCATCATCGTCAGCTTCATCTACAACTCTTTCACGCCCTCACCCTTCCCACCCCCTCCAACTCACGACAACCCTGCCCACCCGCCTCTTTTACTTCATATTCATACTAACAACCTCATCGTAGGCAGCCAATATCCTCCTCAATATTGGTCTGCCGAAACACCATCACAACACTCATCCACACCAAACACCCTTCGCCCTCACCACGCAAGGAGACAGCATCATGCACACGGCATAGAACGAGAAGAAGAAGACTCCAGCCCCCAGGAAGCCCTTTCTCCGCCGCCGTCTTTCGTGCCCCACGCTCCCTCACCACCCTCTCAGCAGCAAATTCACTCAAACCCTTACCACCCGGAGCAGAACAACTTCCCTGCCCCCGTCGTCATCGGCAGCATGTTCTCCTCCCAGAGCCAGGACCCTTACACCTCCCAGCCGGCCGTTCACTTCAACGAGGCCCAGCTCGCCGTCGACGACGTCACCAACCGCGCCCGCGCCAAGGGCTTCCGCGACGAGCTCACCATCGCTGCCAACGGCTCCGTCACCCCGGGCGTCGACGACACCCCTTACCTCCGCTATGCCTTGGAGGCTCTGACGAGGGAACACGGCCACAGCGGCGGCTTCTCCCCCTCTTCCAGCGTTCCCTCTCCGAACGAGAACACCGGCTACTACCGCGCTGCCGGATACCTCCCGGACGACCTCCAGAGCCCCCTCATCAGCGGCGACCCGGACTCCGGCTTCTCCCCCATGGTCCCCGTCCCTACCCACACCCGGGACTCGGTCCGCCGCCAGTCCCGGCCGCATTCCAACGCCGGCGCCGAGAGGCCTTCCATGTCCCTCGGCACTCGCATCATCTCCATGTCGCCGCCACACTCGGCAGACTCGAGATATCAGCACACCCAAGCCCAAACCCCGGCCGGCATGAACCCCACCGAGACCACGCCAAAATGGCTCCCTATCAGTGAGAGGGAGAGCGTCTTCCCGGGCATGACAAAGATCGACACCATTGACGAGGACCGCGCGATATACCCGCGCCTGAATTTCGTCCCCGCGATCCTGCGTCTCCCCTCCCTCATCGCCCTCATGACGCTCTGCCTCGCCATGATCGCCTGCCTCATGGTCGCCGCCATCTACTCACCAATCCAACCCGGTCTCCTAACCTACGGCGAAACAATCTACAGCGGCAAATACTTCCTCTTCCGCATCCTGCCCCAGCTCTTCGCCTCCCTCATCTTCATCTACGCCCAGTGCGTCGCAGCAGCGACCCTCCGCATCCTCCCCTTCGCCGCCCTCTCCGACGACGAGCCCATCCGCCGCCGCAACGCCCTCTTCCAAAACCTCTACGCCAAAACCTTCCTCTTCCCCCAGCTCGCCGGCCCCGCCCACGTCAAAATCGCCCTCGCCATCCTCTGGCTCTCCGCCTTTGCCATCCCCCTCGCCAGCGCCTCCTTCACCGTCATTCTCGTCGACGTCTGGTACTGGACCGCCGTCCAGGGCGTCGTCTGGACCCTCGTGGCCCTCTACATCCTCATCCTCGCCGCCATCGTCATCCTCCTCCTCTTCTGGCACAACCGCGTGACGGGTCTCATGTGGGACCCGCGCTCCATCGCAGACCTCTCCGTCATGATCGCCCGAAGCAACACCCGCGACGCCTACCGCGGCGCAGAGGTCGCCCCAACGAGCAAGAAGCTCCGCTCCATGCTCCGCAACCGCATCGTCGACCGCCTGGGCTACTGGATGACGGACGACCACCAGGAGACCCCTTGGTACGGCCTCGGGACGGAACACTCCCAGGGCCACACCCCGTCCGACCTCCACTACGATGTCAAGAACGAATCCTCCTCCTCTTCCGCCATCGCCGCCGACGACCACCACGACCGCCGCTCCGTAACATCCACCCTCCTAGCAGGCCGCTCAGCCCACCGCTCCGGCCTCGTAGAAACCTACAAACTCCCCTGGTGCCTCCGCACCCCACAAGTCCTATTCTACGTCGTCGCCTCCACGATCCTCCTCACGGCCCTCTTCGTCGTCTCCTTCCTCCATCGCACGTCTCTCGTCGCCGGCTTCCGCCCAGGCGTCCCCGCCGCGCCCCTCTCCGCGCCCTCCTCCTTCTCCGCCGCCAACTTCCTGTATAGCTTCGTCCCCAGCTTCCTGGGCCTCGTCCTCCTCCTCGCCTTCCAGACCCTCGAGCAGCAATTCCGTATCCTCCAGCCCTGGGCCGACCTCAGCACCGCCACGGACGGCGCGCCGGCCTCCCGCTCCGTGCTCGCAGATTACGCCGCTTGTCTGCCCTTGCAATCCACCCTCCACGCCCTCCGCAACGGACACTACCGCGTCGCAGCCCTCTCCGCCCTCTCCCTCCTCCTCGCCTTCCTCCCCGCCCTCGCAGGAGGCCTCTTCATGGCCCTCACCGCCACCCGCTCCCCCTCGGAAGCCGGAGGCGGCGGCGGCGTCCGCATGTTCCCCAACATCCCCGTCTTCGCCGTCATCCTCGCCCTGCTAGTCCTCTACCTCGCCGCCCTCGTCTCCCTGCTCTTCGGCCGCAACAGCTACCGCCTCCCGCACGCCGTCACCTGCCCCGCAGAAATCTTCTCCTTCCTCGCCAACGAGGACTGCGCCGCGGACCCGGCGTTCCAGGCCGCGCCCCGCTCGGCGGAGAAGCTGCGCGTGTACCTCGGTGCCGGACCGGGTAGCTCGGCGAGGGGCGCGTCTGCTGCGGCGGCGGGGATGAGTCAGAGCGTTTGGGTGTTGGGGTACGTGGAGGCCGGGCGCGATGTGAGGAGGCTCGGGGTGAGGCGGTTGAAGAGGTTTACGGGGGATGGCGCCGGGGAGAAGGGGCCTTTTGTGAGGCCTTCTTCTGGGAGGTCTATGATGGGGATGGTTTGATGACCGAAACCTCTTGGACCCCTCGAACCACCTCAGGTCCGACGATTATTTTGTCTTTTTCGAGCATCTTGTCTTCCTTTCGAGCCATCGGGGGTGAAAAAAGTCTGGTTCTCTTGATTTCCCACCTCGATCTCTAATGTTTGCTATTTCTTTTCACTCATGTATCGGCGTTTACTGGCATTTTCACGGGTCACATTTCTGGGATTTCTTCATTGCATTGGCATGGCGTTTTACAGGTTGGGCATAACCACGAAGTTTCCGAGATGAAGATGAATGAGAAAGAATGTCAGAGAGAGAGCGATGGAGCAGAGAAGGGAAGGCGTCTTACGATATGAGTGTACGGGAACGATTTACATGGTATCCACGATAGAATGTCTTTTTACGCAACAAATGCATTAATGCCAATCCACCTTATCCATCATCATCATCACCTCCAACATCCATGATCTTGCCCAATGATATGGGTTCGTGTCTTTCGATCCGTTTGGTATTAGAAATTCCCAGCAATCGCGTTAGAATATGGCAACCATGAAGAAACAAGGTATAGCAGTGGGAAGCGTCCCTGCGAATCTTGCGAATTCCAGACGTGCACCGCGTATCCAGCTCTGGAAACCCCCTAAAAGTCCTCAAGGTTCTGGACTCCTACCGGGACTGGAACAAACCTTCCCAAATACACTCGCCTAGTAAACCTTCCCCCCCCAAGACAACTTCCTTCGTCTAAACTCCTCGCGGGTTCCCCGTACCTCGTTGCATCTCTCGCCCTCCTCGCCTGCGGATCCAACACCCGCCAACCCGAAGCGAGCTCTCCCCGTCCCCTTCTTACCTCCGCCCCACCCTCTCGGCTCTCTCCGGCTTACACGAACCACTGGTGAACCACCCAACTACCTCAAACGCCCGTAAGCTTTTCGTCCACCTCCTCCCTCTACATATCAACGTCGCGCATTGCTCCAGCAACTCAAAAGTCTAGATCCTTTCACGTGGGCTGCTCGCAGCGAAAAGCCGCAGCAAAAAAAGGATCAAGTACTCTCGCGATGGGAATGGACTGGAACTCCTCCGGTCGTGTGTTACCCCAGTAGCCTACCTAGAAAGTTCCTACTCCAGAAACCATATCCCTTCCTACGCAGGTTTTCGCGCAAGACTAGAGGGAGGGGACGCAGAAGAGGCAAGGCAAGTGAGTAGCTCCCATCGTCATATTACGTCATCGAATGTTTGTAGTGTGGCGAGTGAGGTTTCCTCGGCGAAAAGACTCAAGAATTTTTGGTTTTTGTTTGAATAGACAATTCGAACTTTGAGGAAGCATTCAGCTTTCCCGTTCATAGTTAGTCTACCTTGTGGCAATTATCCTATCTTGTTGTTATTGTTGATGTTTTACTCTTCTTAGGTTGGTCAAGTCGCCAGACAAGACCTGTGGACTGACGACGCTCATACTTCCCCCCCTAGAGGAGGGACGGAGTCATCTCCGAGCTCAAAGGCCGTTACATCAGATTGCGTTCCCTTGCGAGGAGAACTAGTCTACCCCGCTCTCACCATAATTTTGTCGTTCGTCGTTGATCCGTCTGACTCGTTGATCCAGATTCCTCCCTTCACCTAACCCATCCCTTTGGAAACCTTCTTTTCCCCGGGGTCCACACGAATTCTCATCCCTTGTCAGGAAATCCCCGCGCAAACCACTTCCAGGTGGTCTGCGCAACCTTGTGTTTGTCCTCCTCTTGCCGACTAGATCCTCCTCTTACTCCATGTGTTCCAAGACCGTATTCTTCTTCATGAGATAGTGATAAACATAGCAGTATAATGAGCACATTCAAGCGTTAACGTGGAGCAAACATAACGAAAATGAAACAAAGTAAAACAACGAAACAAAAGAAAGATGAGCGAGTAAAATGCAAACGCTGCGCTGAAATGCAAATACGCCGGCTGGTTCCGGCGCCCCTCGTCGTAAATAGGCCATATGCTCGTGATGCGCAAATGACCAACATGGTCTTTATGCGTTTGGAGACCTTGCATGCGTGCGTCCAAACATGCGTCCAAAGACGGCACCGGATCTCTTGTTTCGTTCAAAGATCATCTGGTTCTCGCGAATCCTCTCGGCCTCAGTCTCGGCGCGGATCTTGCGGAGCTGTGCATCCGCGTAGGCTGCCCCTTTGGCGCTCCTGCGAGTCTCGCTGGCGGTTCGCTTGTGCAGCGTCTTGACGAAGCGAGAGATGGTGTGCTCGGGCTCTTCTTCATCAGAGTCTGAGTCCGAGTCAAAGTCGAAGAAAGACTTGGGCGTGTCCAGACCCGACGATGTTCCTATTGTCGGCGTCTGCGGTGGCAAGGGGGCAGAACGGGGATGTGTAAGGTCGGCAGTACATGGGTAATAATTTCCATGCGAGGTATGAGGTCTCGTGTAATCAGAATGTAGGGGAGAGTAGAGAGGCGATGAGAGAGGAGAAAACAGAGACGCCGTGGCGGGAGAATACAGTGGAGCGGCGGTAGCCGTAGCCGTAGACATGGGCATAGAATGAAGATGGATGGGTGGTGGACGATGTCCCTTGCGAAGATTGCCCATACTCGGTCGAGTTGAGAGGGCAGAGAAGTGAGGTGGGGGTGGTGGAGGGTAGCTCGGGGCTTGAGGCTGAGTACGAGGGAAGAGGCTGTAAGAGGACCGGACGGCACGAATGGTCCGGCGAAGTTCTGGAGGGCTCCGAGGCTCAGGGTCCTCGGGGCCCTGAACAGAATGGGGGACCGGTGACGCTGGCATACTCGCGGGTGGTTGGGGCTGGGTCACAGGGTCCTCGGTGGTGGAAGGGGTTGGAGATGGTGAGTGCTGAACCTGGATGTTATACTCGACAGGTCGGGGTGGTAGGGGGTAAGCGTCGTAGTTGATGCAACCCGTCTTCTTCGCCCTGCGGATATGTGGTGACGGGATCAAGGCAGGATACTGGGTCTTGGCCTTTTCTGGAGTCTGCTGGGTCTTTCCCTCATCAATCGGCCAGAAGGTGTCCCAAAGCTGAGATGCGGAAGCGTGGTACTGGTAGTCGTCGTCGAGCGATACTTCGGAATCGGTCCGATCATCAATGAGACTTGGTGCTGAACTGTTGGAGCCTTGCGAGCCCATAGAAGTACGATCTCGTTTGGTTGGTGTTTCCGGGCAAGCAAGGCTGTGATGGTGGTAATCTTGAGTGAGGTCTTCGGATGAATACGTTTGACCGGCTCTTCTATACGGATTGCGAGTCGGAGTGCCGTCGGGTCGAGGGTATGAGAAGTTGGCGTATCCGTAATACTTGGAAACGAGCTTAAGATGAGCAAGTTTTGTTTGCCGCTCCATGCTTGACGGCCGAGACGATGGTCGAGAAGCTACCGTGATGTCGAGCTCCTGTGCGTAACCGATCATGTCCTCATGAGCGCCAGACATCGCTGCGGTCAGCGTCTGCAACACCGGCTTGATCTATGCTGGACGTGAAACTCTGGGGATAATAACGCCACGATGGGTATACTGGCCGAAGGGCTCATGGATGAGGGCGAGGCAACGATATATGCATGGGCCGTCTGGAGCCAAGCGGAGCCTGTCTCCCTGCCCCAGACAAGTTGTATGAATGCCTCCTCTGTCACGGCTGGCCCGGCGGCACGAATCATATGCCTTCCACTCAACGGCGGACAACAACAGGAGCACAAATATGCAGCACCTTGTCTTGGTCTCTCCATACTCGAGGTCTCGTCTTGAGTTCTGGTCCACCCGGGTGGCTGATTATGACAACCAGACCATCCCCTGCAATTCTCAGACATTCCTCGCCTAGGGGCCATCCCTCGTGTGATATGCATACTTGGTGACAGTTGCGCCCGGGGCCAATCAGAGTCCCGGTAAGACACCGAATGTGGCCCGGTGTGTTGTGGACGGGTCGGTGGGTATCGGATGCTGCATGGCCTCGACGGCTCTCGCAGGAATGGTAGATTGCCTGCTGGCGACTTCCGTCTCGAAAGGAATGCATAATGGACAGAAAGGGTTTGACTTTGGGTCTCTGCATTACTCGGTTTTGCTCAGGAAAGCAGCGAACGCGCTCTGGGAACATCGCGTTGGTGTGTCGTTTACAACAAGCGAGGAGTCTGCCGGCTTGGCCTCCTTGGATCGAGAGATCTTCAAAATTACTCTTTCCGGCCACCTGCTCGAGTATACCGAAAGGGAAAACAAGATTTTCTGCAGCGTCAATAAATCTGCGCAGGGGACGAAGAAGCAAGGAAAAGGGCACCGTCATGCGGGGAAGCCGACCGGAAGAGCCTCAACAACGTCCCTGCATCCACAGGCTTCTTCCTCAGCGTCCGTCTTCTGGCTAGAAAACAGGGTCGACGGGGAAGACTACCTTAGTCCTGCACTTCTGCAGCTGGCAATCGCTTGACTACCTTAGTAGCCGAGAGGGTCCTAGTGAAAAAGCAAGGCGGGAAAAGATTTGGTGTGGGAACCAGACCTCTGGAATGTGTCGACCTCCTCGTTGTCTCGCTTCCACGGTGACAACCAACTTCTCTCTGAACCGATGGCGCCACAATGAGCCTAGAGGTCCTTCTCGGCCTGCGTTTGCTGCAGCAAACTTGTGAGGGCCGGCCTAGAATACCCACCTTCTGTTTCGATTCAACAGACACCGCCAGAAAAGGGCAAGCAATCCAGCTAAAAGATCTCACGAGAACTTGATGTAATCCAGGCTTGAGGGCCTAGGTCTCGTAGTCTGGTCTCGCAGGGAAGATTTTCCGACGAGAAACGAGACACAGAACACAATTTGCTATAATGGTTCCTTCTGTTGGCTGACAAGCTGGTGAGCTTGGTAGTCTTCGTCCGGGGAGAATCAGACAACCAGAGCAACAAGTGAATCTCGATGTTGCTCATCCTCAGCCTCATATGCGATCTCGATCTGCCTCTTGGTGGAGATAACTTTTGCTACGACAGCGCAGCCCATTTTTCAGCCATCTCTTTCGTGGAGCGACTCAGCTGCGGGGGGCTTACAAGACGTTGATAGCCACAGCCGTGGATGACGGAAACCGCGTTCCCCTGATTCTATTTGTTTGGTGACAATCTTAGTATGCGGGCCATTTGTTTTGGTACTGCCGTTTGCGACGGGCAGTAGGCATGCGGCGTTCCAGAGCAACAACAGCCACAGTGTGACAAACCGGCTGATGTATGGCTCGATCGATCGGATGGCGGGCCTGCGGTCTAACGACAATTCGAGCTGAGATTCCTGTCGTCCAAATGATCAGAATGGTGGCAGACGGGAAAGAAAGCCTTGACCGTAGCGGGAGTTTTAGCGATTTGTATTGAAGACGTCATGCCGCCTGCCATACGCCTCATGCCGTCAAAGGCGCATTTCAGCGTTGGCCTGAGAAAATAATTGATATCAGACTTCCAAACGACGTTCACCTGAAGACGATAAATGGTCTGGTCGGGAAGCAAACGGACGGGCAAAATCAAGCGTCAACGAAGGCAGTATGTCTTTTGCGTGGTCTTGGTCCCCGAAAGTTAGGATGCGGGAGATCGTCCGCAGCCAAGGGCGACAAGTGATTCAGGGCAGCGAACAAGTGGTGACCCTGGAAAAGAGGTTTCCCATGCAAGATGGGGACTTCTTGATTTTCTCGACCTGGCAATCCGATAGGGGCCTGAGCAGCTGGACGATCGACAGGGGACGATCGCCCCTAGCATACCGATCTCATTCTGTCAGCTAACATCACAGGCCAGGGATGTTGCTATGCTCCGTGGTTCCGAAGGATTGTGTGCGGGTCGGAGATATGAGGATATGGTTAGAGACATGCTGCAAGGGAGGCCGAAGAGGAGTGAGCGACTTTTCCGCTTTCCTTGATGGCTTCGAATTGCGAACCACCAACGCCGGATCAAAGTGCAAATTTTCGAGTTCGCTTCGATATAGCGTGGTGCTTTCTCGCATCGGGGCATCGTCCGAAAAGTTCTCTCGACTTTGAAGCTCAAAATTTCTCCCTGCGATATCTCGTAATGGTACCTGAAGGGTCCATTGTCTCGCACGAGTTTACAGGGTCGCTGGCTGAGTCGACAAACCTGTTCGCGGATACTTGAGAAGGGATGTGAATCAGGGGAAGGAGAAAAGTCAGATCTCGATCTCGATCGTGTTGGGTTGCAGACTCGCGAGACATGCTGGTAGCAGCTCTCAGGGCTGTTGATTACCGGTATCGTGAGGTTCCAACGCAGTGGCTTGTGCAGACTCTGAGCCATCCCTGGGGCGGACTGTTGCGCGTCCCCTTGCCCTTGGGTTTGTTACGATTGATTGGCGGCTGTCTCCGGGCAAGGATGTCAACGGAATAAATCGACGCAAGTTTTTTTTCCCCCTCGGGTGCTGATTTTTACGTTTGAACGAGTCGAGGGTTCGGATAGATACTATCAAGCAGGCATCCTTGACTTTAGAGATTTCAAGAGTGTAAGTGAAGCAGGGAGGCTGCTTGAGGGGCCCGGCAGATTGGAAAAGAGACGCCGAGAAAGGATGGCCCTTGGTCGTCGATAAGGTATCCGTAGATACGGATGAAATGGTTGGATTGAATGGATAGCAACGGGCAGAAATCAGATGGGCGACGTTGGATTTGAGCAGTTAATGACTTGAAGTTTCGGGGGCGCGAATATTGATTCCCAAAGGCGTAGAAACCGTTGCAGACAGACGGGTATGAAGAGTCAAAGAAGAATTGAAAAATGGCACCCAGGTCTAGGAAGTTGCAACCGTCGATGAATGGAAGGAAGTACCGCTGCACCGCACCTGCTTGGAGCGTTCGGTTCCAGGTCCACGAGGCAATTGCGAGCTTAATCATGGGGAAGGTCCAATGAGTAGTTTGATTGGGTCCTGCCACTCCTGCAAGATCAGGGAACAGGGGGAAGTCGTCGGGAGCGACCCGTTGTTTCCCAGTTTGATCCCCGAGCTCCCTTTCTAGCACGGGCCACCCTTGTTCTTTCCCTCTTCGCTGGCACATGGGCCCAGGCCTTTCCCTTCCAGGTTGAAGTTGACCTGGATGACTGCACCTTACCTAATCATGCCAAGATTTGGGTTAAGAGCAGGCACATCCCGCACTCAAGCAGCAAGCTTCCATGGAGTTTGGACGTTGAACTTCTACTGACTGACATACTCCGTACCTACTGCGGTATCCGAATACTCTCCTGGGATGCCTTGGCTATCAAAGCTTAAGAAAAGTTCCAACGCTCGGTGGGTGTCAACGCTCGTCCAAGACCATCTCCTTCCTCCTTGATTCCATCTCAACGCATTGTCCAATGCACTGCGTGTGTCAGATGCTGGGCGACAGAACATCGAGAGAAGGATGAACGAACCTCGCGCCAATGCAGGTCTTACCGCCCGATCGTCTAGACAATTCATCGACGGAGAGGGCCGCTGGTTTCTCCAGACCAGGCACATATGCAAAGCAAAGACCTTTTAGATCGTTTGCAATTGTGTACCTGCAATAGCTTGCTTCCCTCACTAATTTCCAGAGACACTGTTTCGAATCCAATATCCTACTCAGACGTTCGCTATACAATCTATCCCACATCACCTTACGAAAGGCAGACGATCCTTACGGATACAGATGATCCATGGCGCCTAGGCGGGGAACCTCCGGGCAAATACCATCCCGTTGGGACTGTTGAAGAAGGAGAGAGAGGCCAAAGGGCAGGCGACTGGCAATCTGGGTGGGTTTCGTCACTGCGCAGTGACAACACACACTCACCCACACCTCATTTTCACTCTCAGTCCTAAAGCTCACGCTCACTCTTCGTCTCTCATACCATGTAGCGCACTCACTCACTCATTCTTGAAAGTAGCTCATTCTCACCGCCGGCGCACAAGTGCCCTTGGATCATGAACATGTCATGGATCTCCTCGTCACTCATCGAAGCCGGTCTTATGGCCACTACCAAGGTCCAGGCCGAGGTCAGAATGCGCAAGATTGGTTGACACTAGGGCTGATTGGTGTTTCCTCTCCTCTCCGGCCGAACCTACGCCCACTTCCTTGCCCATGCTCACAGCTCACAGCTTATCCCCAGTGCGCTCCCACCACACGTCCCCAGCCCCCTGATTTTCTCCCACTGGCTCAATCTCAATCGTCGGCACCGCGGCCACCGCAGGCAGTTTCCCTGCCTCTCCGAGCTTCCCTGCCACGGCTGATCGGTCACTGGTCAATCCCACACGGGTGAGGCGAGCAGTTCCAATCTCTTGTCTCTCATCTCCCGTCGTGGCCGCAGCCGGCGCCGCCTTCACCTGGTCGCACACTGTCACTTCTAGCCCATCCTCCCGTCCCTCCGTCCCAATTGGCACCCAATGCCCGATATGTCAGCTCGTGGCCGGCAGAGTCTCCTTGGGGCCTTGGGTAGGCCAAGTCTCCCATAATCTCAATGAGCAGTCGGGATATCCCTGGACCAGGTCGCGCATGGTCGTCGATAACCAGGCGGCCTAGGCTGCACATCCCGCGATCCCATGCGCGTAATGGCAATGATGTTCAGCGGGGAGAGCCATGCACCGGTCAGACTTAGGAAGGCGCCGTTAAGGCATCCCGAGGGCCCAATCCTGAAAGCTGCAGCCATCTTCCACGCCGGCGCTGCAGTAGACGACAGCTCAACGCTCCACACGGCGCGCGCATCTCAATGTACCTGGCCGGCTCTGGCGTTGGATGGCAGAGCCAAGGCGTGAAACCAGTTACCTCGCGACGGGGAACAACCTGCAAAGAGCTGCAAAAGCCTGCATATGGCTGCACGCCGTGAATTGGCGGATGCTGTACCTTGGCTGGGGGCGCGCCAGTAGAGGAAATTGGCCCATGTTGTCCACCTGCGGGAGATGTTGTTGGCACTCTGCATCCGTATCCGTACACCAGGACTACCTTTTAATGTCAGGTAATGTAATCCCTCAGGGCTCAGGTTTGTACGTACGGATGCTGTCTGTCCAGTGCAGAGTCCAGAGTCCAGACTCCAGTGTGCCCCCAGCTCCATGTCGAGATGGTTCGAACCCTGCCTTGTCCGCCGGGTGAGAAGCGAAGCTTCGCC